AAATTACATATATAAGTCACGGGATAAGCCGAATTAGGCAATGTTTGCATTGTTTATAGTGCAGCTGCACTGCAGCCAAAGTACCGCTGCACCGAACCTCGCCCTTGGTGCAGTCGGCCCCACGTACAACTGCACCGAACTAAGGCCTTGGTGCAGCCACTGCACCAGTACCGCTGCACTTGTCAAGGCCTAACCCCAGCTATAGCGGCCCTATAAGGACTTCGATGAAGCGATATCGCGTAGTAAACTAGCTTATAAACAAATTAGATTAGGATAGCAAGTAAACCTTTAGAAGCAAGTAAACCTTTAGAGACAAAATAGAAGGATGGTAAAGACGAAAATAGAAAGAGCTAGAAGTTAAGAGAAGATAAATCTAGGGCTCACGTCAAATTTATAGAGGGAAGAGGGGAATGTTATGGATCACGATTTGATTTAACAATCTAAAAGGGTGCCGTACAAACAAGGAGGAATGGCTGGAGAGAAGAAGAAACAGAAAAGGAGACAGGCCGGGAATAACAAGAACAGGCTAGCGGGGAACCACGTGATGACAGCCACATACACTATGTGGCGCGTGTTATGGGGTCAGCCCATAACAGAGGGGCTCTATCTAGGAGCCGCGTTGTCGCCTATTTTACACCTACGTATACATATATGTAAAGGAAAAGCGCCCTGGAGGCGGAACCAGGATCTTGATATACATTTAACTTCCTTGTTTCGAGTTTCTTTGATGGTTGCTAAGGATCGACGATGTGATCACCCTAACATCTGCAAGTGTCTGAAAAGAGGAACCGGAAGCTAGCTAAATATATCATCGTGACGGACACGATTTAGGGACGAAGAGGTATAAGAGTGCCTTCCCGGGAAACTTGGACTTAGTAAGAATTAGTCTCTAAAAAAAGAATACTATACGTTTCTCCCCCCCTACGATTTAACTCGTCTGACCAACAGGACTAGCTTGACAACTAGTATTTCTTTACAAGATACTCTAAATAAATAATTAGACTATAAGATTAGTACTAAATAGCTAAACTAGCTATATTAAGATAAAGGAGAGGAGCTCATTAGAGAATCGGGCCTCAGGTGGCTGAAGGAGAGGAAGAGTCTTCGAAGAAGACTTAGGCGTTTTATGAGGGTTAAAAGATTCCCCAAAGTCGCTAAGGACGATCCTTTCTTTTCTAAGAGCAATATCATCGCTGCCAACGCCAAATCAGCCCGGAATAAAGACGTGTGCAGGTATTCCATTTGATAATGGCATGCCATCGAGACGAACAACGGCCTCTAACTCGCTCTCCAAATTTCTCATATACCAACGATCAAGCAAACAATACAAACCCCGACCTTCTAGAAGACTACCAAAAAGACTGCTAAAGTGATCTGGCATGTGATAATGCATGCATAGATCGAGATCGTGACAGTGCCCGTGGTTTCTCCGATTCTGTTGAGTTTTATCCCTGTGAAGCCACAAAGCCCGGCTACCCCGATAGGGAGCATAAATACTTCGGCGACGTGCTGAACTCCGTCTTCACGTCACAGCAGACCAGAATACGCTTCGCAGATTTTAAGTGCGTACAGTCTGCTTTTACCGCGACGCCTGACGTGATTTTAAAGGATGATAATCACGTCTTGAATGTCGTTGGGGAGCTCAAAGTACCATAGGTTCCAGAGCACTTCCTTGAGGATAAGCTCAACAACGAGCATGAGCTAAGGAAGATACTCGCTGAGCCGATCCAGTACATGCAGAAACTAGACTATGTGTATGGATTTATCAGCAACTACAATGAGACGATCTTCCCTAAGCCTTGCTCTGAGTTATCCTAGATAGTGCGCAATATTCACGCCTTCAGATGGGCCAAGCCAAAGGTGCCCTAATGTCCTTGCTTCTTAGCCGGACTAGAGCATTTCCCCCATCCTCCATTCAGGTGGAGGTTGTGTACCCTGAGCTTTGCTTTACTACGTCACTATTCGCCATCTCCCCTTCTCATCCAGTCGTCGGTGCATTCGACCTGTCTAAGGATAAAGTGGTTAAGTTTCTATTTAGACACTTAGGAAATCACTGGAGATTTTTGCCTATATTCGAAGTAGGAAAATCAGAGAAAGAAGCACTTGCTACGATGGTTGTTCTAGTCGGTCTATTCACTCTTGGTGATTGGGCAAATATCTAACGCCGCATTTTGTCGGAGCTAGCGATTTTCATAGAAGAGAGTGTTGAAGTTGAGCTTTTTCCAGGGGACCTAAGTTTGCTCCGTGGGTCTAACCCTAGTAGCAAAGACACTGCACCTCCCCGGATGGGATCGTCGGCTAGGAGCTCGCCCTACTGACCTTCTCATAGAGGATTGAGTAATCCATCAGCAGTACGCCGTCAAGTTGCAACCTACATAGAGGACAGTATTTTCTTATATAGCTGAGGTTGTTAAAATAAAGGATGTTAGTTCCTACACCTAGTTCTAAGATGTAGAACGTTCCATAACTTAGTTTCCATAGTAAACAATATACTTCATATAACAATATACTCCGTCATATTTGCAGATAGAAGGATCATATAATAAAATATATCGAGCATATCGAGCGGCAGATATTCTAGACACATCCTGTGGCAACTGTATGTCACTCTAATATAGTAGTCTTTGCTATTGCACTTCACGTTTCGAAAAATCGTGCGAGGTATATTTTTAGTTCCTATGCCGCCCGGATATAGGCGTAGGGTGTGGGAGCCCTAGTTAACTATGACGGCGACTAAGTTATGAGTCTCCCTACGCTGTTAGTAACGTATTGGGCGACTACGTGCGCCTAAAATCTCTGAGCTTTTAAAGATAGCCATAGAGCAATTCTGTGGTGCCTTTATAGAATCGTGGCCCTCGGTGATAATATAAGATAGGAAATGAGCTTTTGCCTATTTCCTAGTTCCGGATAGTAGATATATATAGATCACTTACTTTCAGCCACTTTATTAAATTATTTATAGGTCCTTCCTAGTAAGCGGTGATAAACTATTTGATAAT